ATTAGGGCATTTTCTGTTGAAGGTCACTTTGAGATAGAATTAAATTATTACACACAGTGGTTTTACAAGGTCATGTTAATTCAAAAGGTAAAAAATCCTTCAAAACTGTGCACCGACTGGGTTCTGCAGAATAGCAATGGTGACACCAATGAATCAAAACAAATTCAGTGACTGCAATAAAAGCTGATGGTGGGACAGTGACATCACCTTAGAGCAAGGAGCTAATGTCTCACAGGAAAGCTCCTTCTTACAGCTGGCAAAAGCCAGAGAGTTGGTTGTATGACCCTCAGTAAAAGAAGAAAATATGTTTGTGTTCAGATATTGAGTGGGCTTTCAATTTGATTCAGCTGAGTTTACACAAATTGCCCTGTGTTCTAACAGAGATTCTGTATTTTGATATAAAATACCACTTTGCACTGATGTATTTTTTGTCTTTGGAAAATGATAAATCCTCCTACACTCCACTTCAGAAAAAGAGTCAGTGCCTTGTTTTAATACAAAGATTCCCTGGTAGCCTAAGTCACTGCTCACTATTTCTGGAAGAGCTGTAACTATTTTACAAGTAAGACTGATTAATTTTGCAGTATAATTTGCAAGTGACATTTACAAAGGAATATTGTGCAGGGATATCTGGGAGGGATATTGTGTTCAGACTTTTCCTGCTTGCCTGCCTGCCGTCCTGGAACAAACAACACTGCTTCGTTTTCCTTCCGTATTTTACAAAGTTAAGTAAACACTGTGATCACACTGTTTACTTTAATTTCCTGCAGTGTGCCAGCAAAGCAGCAAATTGGCAGTCAGTAATCAAGAAGCAGCCAGTACTGAAACAGCAGAGCTGCTTAGGAAAGCATCAGTGATGCCAACTCATTTTTCCTTCTGTTTTAAAAATAAAATATTGGCTTCTATGAAGTTTTATTTTCACCCTAATCTTTTCTCAAGGATCTGAAATTTTGTTTTTTTTTCTTTAATTTTCTTTTGGAAGAAATCTGGGATTATGAGCAACACCTAATTTATATGGCCGACTCTTTCTATATAAGGAAATGGATTTACGAAAGTGGCTAATATACACTATTTATCTGTAAAAAATTCATGGCATTTTTGCACAAGAGGAAGTTAACTTGTCTATAAATCAGTCTTATCTGGATATATTTTTATTTTTATGCCAAGAGCTCTAGCTGTGCTACTTCAATTAGGTGTATGATAATATGAAACTAAAATCTCATGCATTACTTTACACATCTGCCCAAGAACGGTCCTAAAATGCAAATAGTTATATTTTCAGACACTGTTCTCTCTCATCTTATACTACATAAAGCAAGAAATATAAAAACAAAAGAAGAAGTAAGAAGAATAGGATAGTATTTTGTACCTCAGAGGTGTAAAGCTTGACAAGGTGACTTTCATTTATGGCTTTCTGGCAGATACTGTACAGAAGGAATTTATTGCAATGTAAGTTATAATTCCAACATATAAAGGAGACCAGATCTTACA